CTCTCCCCTTCCTCCCCTCCCTCCCCTTTCTCTCTCCTCTCTCTCCTCCCTCCCCTCCCTCCTCTACCTTTGTTCTCCTGGCAACCACTAATCTGTTTCTCTACTTTTATCTTTTCAAGAACATTACATAAATGGAATCATAAGGTACATAATCTTGCAAGATTGGATTTTTTTCAATCAGCATGGTTACCTGGAGATTCATCCAAATTGTTCCCTGTATCTACAGTTCATTCCTTGTTACTGCTGAGTAGTGTTTGATATCCATAGACCACAGTTGTTTTAACCATTCATCCATTGTAGGCCATCTGAACTGATTCCAGTTTGGGGCTATTACAAATAAAACTGCCATGAACATTTGTGCCCAGGTTTTGTGTGAACCTAGATTTCCTTTTCTCTAGGATGAAAGCTGGAGGATATTTGTAAATTTGGTTCTAGCATAATTTATTTTTTTTTCATCTTTTCTTCTCCTTTCCATTTACTCTGCATGTTTTCAGTGATCTTTGACTACTGTTAGAGCATTTCTTTCTGTTTTTAAGCATTCTCTAATACCTAATTACAAAGGTTTCCAAAAGAAAATAAAAGAGCAAACGGTGTACATTGAGTTCTCTTCTTTGCTACATTGGGACTATGATTTAAACTTCTAATGATTATAACATGGAGAAGTGTATATACGTTTGAAGTTGACATGATGCATCTTAAAGCTCAAGAAGTAAACCTAAAAAAAACAGAAAAAGGAGTAAACCTAAGCACACATTTGCTTTCAGACTTACAAGACAGTAACATCAGATCAAGCCAAGCACACGGAACATATAACAAATATGAAAGAAAAAACAAAAGCAGAGTTACATCCACTTCAAGGTAAGGTAAATTTTTTAATTATATTTATTTTTGAAGCGCTAATTCCCATCATCTTAGTCTAGCAATAAACAGTATTTGCTTTTGGCTTCTTTACTAACTTAATCCAGCATGGCTCTGGATAGGAGTTCCTTTAGAAAGAAAAGCCCAACCCAAATCTAAAGAATATACCTTCTGGATGGGTGCATTTGATAAATGAACACATTTTACATTTATACTGCTGACCAGTGGCTTTGCCTTCTTTGTGCGGTGATATTACCCCCCCACCCCCAACCAGGGCATTCATTCATGCAGGCGTAATTTAGCATCTGTCTCTCTCAGCAGCTCGACCTTTCATTTCTCCCATCAGTTTTTAAAATCATAAAACTAATTTTTCTTTCAGTTTTGGCTAAGAGCCCCTGTGTGTCTTTGTCCAAAGTATATTTGACATTAGTAGAATCAGTAATGTAAATTGAGTCCCTCAGTTGATGAAATAATGACCATAGGAACAGAAGCTTTATATTTTCACCCTGGCCTACTGTAGATTTCTAACCTTAAACTGCTTGCTTTAAAACCATACTCTTTCCCCATTTTAACTAGAATGCCATTATTTTCAATTACGGTGATCACTAAGGACAGAGAGATTAGCTGCTCATGAACCAGTTTTCATCTGTTAATCATAACAAGAATAAAAAAAAGAATGTCATCAATAAGTATTATTGAATATAATCAGAAGAAGGTTGTTTATAATAATCAAGTACAGCATTTTCATTGTACCTTTATTGGTTTTAAGTCCCTTTTCATACACATTATTTTTTTTTTTTTTGAGACAGAGCCTCAAGCTTTCCCCCTGGGTAGAGTGCCGTGGCATTACAGCTCACAGCAACCTCCAACTCCTGGGCTCAAGCGAGTCTCTTGCCTCCGCCTCCCAAGTAGCTGGGACCGCAGGTGCCCGCCACAACGCCCGGCTATTTTTTGGTTGCAGCCGTCATTGTTGTTTTGGCGGGTCCGGGCTGGGGATTCGAACCCGCCACCTTAGGTGTACGTGGCTGGCGCCTTAGCCGGTTGAGCTATAGGCGCCGAGCCCATACACATTATTTTAATGAATCTTCACAAAAGCCCTATGAGGTAGATATTATCAATATCCCTACTTTACAGATGACAAAAATGAGGTTGAGAGAGGATTAGTGACTCCTCAGAGTCACCAGCCAGCAACATGGCTGCTCTTCCATGCTCTTTCCCATAAATGGTTGAATCGGTTAGCTATTTATTTTCATATTCTTTATATTTGAGTAAGTAATATATTCAAATGGATTTTTTAGGTTCAAGAGAACTTACAGAGAAGCAAATCCCCCATCTGCCAAGTGGCAGGCAGTAAAACCAATTTTTTTTAATGCTCCTGGAGAGAATCTTTGCAAATACAACTATCTAGGCATATACTTTACCCCCTCTTTTGTGCAAACGCAGTATACTGTACGTAGTCTCCTTTCACTGCTTTTTCACTTGAGAGTCCACCTTGAAGACCATTACCTATCAGTGCATAGATCTGTCTTACTTTTTTAAATGACTGCACCATGTTCAACTGTATTCCCATGTCCTTTAAATTAATACTTTGCTTAATGGGCTAATCTTAAAGGTGAAAAAGAACATATTGCAGAAGCTGAGAAAGCAAGTCCAGAAGCTCCTGAAGTATCTGTAGTGGAAGCTGAGGTGGTAGCTGCTGAAGAAATTCCAGATGCTACAGTTGCAGCCCTAACAGAGGCTTCAGCCTGTCCAGGTGGTGTGGAGGCTGCTCCAGAGACAGCAGCGAGTGGGGCTGAAACTGCACCAGAGGTTCCAGAGGCCGTGGTGGGTGACACCACAGAAGTCAGTGCTGGAACGACCCCAGAGGTTCCAGAGGCCGCGATGGGTGACACCACAGAAGTCAGTGCTGGAACGACCCCAGAGGTTACAGATCCAACTCTGGGTGAAGCTGTTGCCATCGATAATGACAAAGGTACAACAGAGAACAAAAGCTCTGAAGAATGTGCTGAACTAGAAGAAGAAAATTCTCCAACTGAGTCACAACCCTCTGCTGAGGATGGTTTACTGGCAGAAGCCAGTGTTGATGCTGAGGCTGTCTCGGCTCAAGGCTAATCTCAGGCTGGTACACAGTCAGTAAAAAATGCCATAGAGTGTCTAATAGGTGCTTTTGTGTTTCTAGTAATCTTAGTTTTTAAAAGGACTTCTTTTTTAGAAAACTTTAATATGCCTTGAAGGTTTTTGGTCTCTACTGACAGATTTAAGATTGAGAGATTTGAAATTGTATATGTCTTAATGGTTTCCTACTCTCTGAGATCAGAATGTGATGTTGCAGTAAAGAGCTTACATAGTTTCATCTTTGAATTTAAATTTTAAAAGAGAGGAATTGAGCTATCTATATAACCTGTATTTACTTTAATTTTGCTACACCTTTACCTTTATTGTATGTAGATCTGGAACACTGAGTTTGATTTGAACTCATTAAAATAAAATTAAAATAAAACTAGAAAATTTACAGTGCTTCTACTTTTATTCACTAACATTTATATGTATGTATATATGGTATATCAACATGCACACATTTAAAATACATGAAAAAATTAAACTGTTGTAATATTATTGAAGGAAGAACATATAACCTATGGACTCCTCTGTGTATAGCAATATGTGTATGTGCCATTTCCCCATTTGCATTACATAGGGAGCTATGTAGAAATTGTCCATTCAGTTCATTTCAAACAGTATTTGTTGAAGATTGACACTTTGTGCTAGGAATCATTCATTCATTCATGTGTTCAATAACTATTAGCTAAGCATCTACAACATTGTTGGTACTGTTTTAAGTGTTCTCCAGCTTTTATTTTAGAATGGACCAGGCAATAAACAAGATAAATAAGAAAACCATACAGTATGTTAGATATTGATAAATGCCAAGGAGAAAAGTAAAGTAAATAAAGGGTTTTTTTTAATTGAATGGTAACTATATACATTAATGTGCTTCTGGGGTACAGTGTGGGGTTTTCACACACAAAAATAAAGGGATTTTTGAGTGTCAGCTAGAGGTAGAAGTTGTAATTTTATTTTATATTTCTTTATTCATTTTTTGTTTATTTATTTTTTCTTTTTGAGACAGAGTCTCACTGTGTCACCCTCAGTAGAATACCATGGTATCACAGCTCACAGTAACCTCTTGGGCTTAAGCAATTCTCTTGCCTCAGTCTTCCAAGTAGCTGGGATTACAGGGGCCCACCACAACACCCACTTTTGTTGTTGTTGTTGTTGTTGTTATTGTTGTCATTGTTATTTAGCAGACCCTGGCCGGGTTCGAACCTACTAGCCTCATTGCATGTGGCTGGCTCCCTAACCACTGCTACTGGCACAGAGCCAGAAGTTGTAATTTTAGATAGAGTAACCAGAAAAAGTCTGTCTTATTAGGAAGGTTTTTTTTTTTTTTTTTTTTTTTTTTGAGACAGAGTCTCAAGCTGTCGCCCTGAGCAGAGTGCTGTGGCATCACAGCTCATAGCAACCTCAAATTCTTGGGCTTAAGCAATTCTCTTGCCTCAGCCTCCCAAGTAGCTGGGACTATAGGTGCCCACCACAACACCCAGCTATATTTTGGTTGCAGTTGTCATTGTTGCTTAGCAGGCCTGGGCCGGGTTTGAACCCACCACCCTAAGTGTATATGGCCAGTGCCCTGCCAACTGAGCAGTGGGCGCTGCCAGGAAGGTGTCTTTTGAGTAAAGACCTGAAATATATATAAGGGAGCTTCTCATGAGGACATGGCAAGGTGGGGGGGGGTCATTCCAGGTGACAAAACAGACAAGTACAGAGGATCTGCAGCAGAAATATGCTAGAGAATTTGCAGAGTTGGGAGGGGCCAGTGTAGCTCAAATGGAGTGAAAAGCGGAGAGAGTAACTGGAGAAGGTCACAGAGAGAAAGGGCGTGTTTATGCAGGGATGGGCTACATCATGCTGGGTCATATAAGATTTGGGCTATTTTTGGAGTAAGCTGGGAAATTTTAGTGAACAGTGCTGATGTTCTGCGTAGATCCTCTTAATCTAGCCCCTTAACTGGGTACATTCACCCTGAGCTGCTACGAGGATTATACACATAACCTAAATCCTTCCCATGTCCCAGGCAGCTTGCAACCAATAACCAGCACGGTGGTTATAATGAAAGGTGGAGCCAACTCTGCAGTACAGTTCATACCCCAGAGCTCAGCTAAAGCCAGTCTCTAGCTGAGATTACACCCTTAGTTTTTCCCCCTGCCCTTTCCTGCTTTCCTCTGTCTGTTCATCTGATACTGTATGTGGTCCCAGGAAGCAGGTGGTAAGAATAGGATTCTGGAGTTGTATCTCTTCAGCTAAGTGGCAATGAGCACCCTGTCATTGGTGGTAGGTAGAGGATAGCCAATTCCTGGCATTTGTAGCAACGTGATTACAAAGGTTTCCACTCGTGGTAAAGCAGGGTGGGAGATAGGCTGAGGGTGACATACTGGCCAGCTTAATGCCTCTGTAATTTAAGAGGTACAAAGAAACAGTGATTATAAGGATTTACTTATGACTCTGACATACAGGATGGTATTGCTTTTGAATTTGTCTCAAAGTCAACTCTACATTAGACTTATAAGTCTAAGGTTAAACATAGACTCCTAAGTCCAATTAAAGGGAGGCTGTTTGACTAAACACTCCGTAAGATGGAGCAGAAACACTACCAGCTACCACTTGTACACACGTCACACACAGATGCATTTTTCCCCAATTTTGTTTAGGATGGTTTCTACTACAAATAATAGAAAACAACTCAGTGGGTTAAACAACAGAGATCATATATCCAGGGTTGATGCATTGCATGGCCCAGTCATGAAGAACCAAGTTGTTCCTGTTTTCCTGCTCTACTATCAAGAATGTTTTGGCTTCGTGGTTAGTGGGCTTTCCTCATTATCACAGGATGAATTACCACAATTCTAGGTATTTGACTTAGCCATAATAACATCCACCAAAAGTCTTTCAAAAAGAAGAATTCCTTCATCTTAAAAAACAAACAAACTTGAATACACTTTTTTTTTTTTTTGAGACAGAGTCTCACTCTGTTGCCCTGGGTAGGGTGCCGTGGTGTCATAGCTCATAGCAACCTCAAACTCTTGGGCTCAAGTGGTCCTCTTACCTCAGCCTCCCAAGAAGCTGGGACTGCAAGGTGCCCACCATAATGCCCAGCTACTTTTTTTTAGAGATGGGAGTCTCACTCTTGCTCAGGCTGGTCTTGAACACCTAAGCTCAGGCAATCCAGCCACCTCAGGCTCCCAGAGTGCTAGGATTATAGAGGTGAGCCTAAAACACAGCCTAAAAACTTGAATATGTTTTTTTCTTTTTAAGTTTTTGTTGTAGAAAATTGTAAACAGAAGAGAACAGTATAATGAATTTTCATATATCTAAACCCAGATTTACTAATTATGAACTCACGGCAAATCTTATATTCATACTCCTACCCTTTACCTTCTGCCACCACAACTGAGGGCCCACCTACAGCTAACCTGACCCCAGCAGTGTGGATAAGATTATAAAGTCAGCTTGGCACCTGTAGCTCAGCGGCTAGGGCGCCAGCCCCATACACAGAGGTGGCCGGTTTAAATCTAGCCCAAGCCTGCCAAATAACAACGAGAACTAGAACCAAAAAGTAGCTGGGCGTTGTGGCAGGCGCCTGTAGTCTCAGCTACTTGGGAGGTTGAGGCAAAAGAATCGCTTAAGCCCAAGAGTTTGAGGTTGCTATGAGCTGAGGCACTGTGGCGGTCTATCCAGGCTGACATAGTAAGACTCTGTCTCAAAAACAAAAAAAGATTATAAAATTAATCAAATCTATGAAATATGATATAGGTATGTAAAATAATAATTCTTAGTAATTCTCCAGTCAGTGATCAAATGTCATTGGCCCTTCATGAAGAGTTTTTTCCACCTTTCGTTTGTTTTCTGAATCAGAATCTGATTAAAGTTCACAGATTGTGGCTCGGCGCCTGTGGCTCAAGCGGCTAAGGTGCCAGCCACATACACCAAAGGTGGCGGGTTTGAATCCCCAGCCCGGGCCCGCCAAACAACAATGACGGCTGCAACCAAGAAATGGCCAGTCATTGTGGCGGGCG